TGTCTGTTCACCTGTGCTACCACCAGGGCAGTACATCTAGAGGTAACACCCGATATGACTGCTCAATCATTTATTCAAGCTTTCCGCAGATTCGCAGCACGCCGATCATGCCCTAAGCTGATGATTTCAGATAACGGAGCAAACTTGGTAGCTGGAGAAGCATGTCTACGGGAAATCTGTTCCCATCCTGCAGTTACTTCCACACTGGAACAGCGTCATTGCAGATGGAAATTTATCCCTCCGAGAGCCCCATGGCACGGAGGATTTTATGAACGGTTAATAGGAATTGTAAAAAGATCCTTGAGAAAATCTCTACACCGTCAGAAAATCAATCTTCAAGAACTCCAGACAGTAATCACGGAAATAGAATCAAGGGTGAATAACCGGCCGTTGACTTACTTGTCTGAGGATCCTACTCAACATGAGCCGTTAAGTCCTGCCCACCTAATGTATGGAAGACTTCTGACTCCAGTACCATCTCTAGTGGATGATGAGATCAGAGATCCCTCATATGTGGGTCAGAGCGAGTTGGTTCAGGGGTATAAGCATCTGTCCAGCATAATCCAAAAATGGAATGATGTTTGGACAAAAGAATATCTTACATCTCTACGAGAACATCACTATGGGGCCAATGTCCCACATAATATAGCTAATCTCCAACCTGGCGATATTGTCTTGGTAGACAGTGATGGCCCTAGGGCTGACTGGCCATTAGGTAAAGTTGTCTCAGTCCATCCGGATAGTCAGGGGATTTTGAGAATAGTCAAAATCCTGTCTAAAGGAACAACTTCCCTGAAGACATTGGACAAACTCATCCACATGGAATCAGTGAGCCAGCTGCAGTTAGATCCTGAGAGACCTCAAGACACTCTAACTCCACAAGACCCACAGACTCCTAACAGACACAATCGTCCACAACGGACGGCAGCACAAAAGTGCAAGCAAAATTTGCACTTGTATTATCAATCCAATGGAGAGTAAATAAATACATATGGTTACTATTGTCCTAAGTATTGGACTCTGTGCCAGTTCTCTCCCTCTGGAAGATGTGGGAAATTTTTACCCACCATATCTAATAATCATCTAAGAAATGTATAATTTCTATATCATATCTAAATCATATCAAAATCATATCTAAATCGTATCAAAAATCATATTTGAATTATTAAAGATTTATTATAGCTTGATCCTGGATGACAATGGCACCATGAACACGTACGCAACAGGGGCCCTTTTGATGCCTACGTGACTTTGTACATGATCTTTCAAGGATCCAGAAGCTTCTAGAAGGACTTCTTAATTAAAAAACTATTGGAACATTGATTCAACATCCGGTAGGATTAAAAATCGAATCCTTAATAAGATTCAGTGGTACTTTCAAATACTACTTATAATCTTTAAATCTTATATCTAATTATATTATAATCACATCTTATCTTAATCATAAGTCTAGACTGTAAAAATAATCAATCAATATTCATTGAAGGCTACCGTGCTCAGAGAGCATGGCAGGGCGATGGGGGGGAGTGAAGCGCCCACCAACAAGCCCAGCGGCACTCCGCGTTTGTTGACAAATGAGTGAACAAGTGACTGATCCTTAGCGAACATTACCAGCTCAAGGACACCTTATCTAATATTTTTATCGCCAGTGAATACTCTCTAGAACTGGGGGAGTACCTGGACAATATCTACAAGGAAAATCATAGAACATTCATAAAATAAGAGTGTATAGTGGAGATCACGGTGACACGGTTTCCTCCACCTTCATTCTTTATCTTTATCATATCATTCTTCTGCAACGCAGTTAAAGAAAAATCACGTAGCAACGCTACCAGATCATCATACAGCAACGCTGTAGCAAAATATCGTGCCTAAACTCGACAAGAGAGTTAATCAGTCTGGCAAACTTGTCAGACAGGCACCCCGACTGGCAGAGAAGTATATTGAAGGTTATTTGGTGTATGATTGGCCAATTGTATGCTTGTGAAACTTTAATATCCTATAAATCTGTCTGTTGGTTAAAAAGAGAGGCAAAGCCTCATTCACGGTACGTTTATTAAAATTGTAGTGTAGCTGTGAATCTTATCCAAGCACTGAACCTCATGAGTGTCCATTCTGTTAGAAAAGAATTCAGCCTCAATAAGTAAAAACCTCATAAGTGTCCATATTGTTGGAAAAGATTCAGCCAAGCTAACTGTATCATATAAATTGAATATGTCTGCATATATATTTGAATATATAAATTAAGTTATCAATTGCTTGCTTAGTTATTTTTAAGTTATCATATAAGTTCATTTAATTGAATATAATATCTAGTACTTAGTTAAGTATTTAGACTACATTTAAGGTCATTTATTTATACTTTTACAATTTAATTTGTTGTTTATAGTATAAGAATCTATTGGCTGTTAAGTTATGGTGCTAGGTTAGACTATGTATGTTTAAATCCCTGATTTAAACAGAGCCAGTGTTCAGTCTGATAACTGAATTTATCAAATCTTATTCTTGTATAAAATACAAGCTGATGTGAGATCCCTGTCTACAGGTGGATTGGAACTTCTATCAACAAGTCATTCACCCCACCTGTCCCTTACAGCCCACAGTCTGTCATTAGGAAAAGAGGAATTAGGATTTACAACCCTAGCTAGAGATTTTAGTTGAATTAATTTGCAGACAGTAATTATTTAATTTAGTTCAGTACAAGTCCCTGGTAGTCTCCTCTTATATCAATCCCAACAGGTTTTTCCCACAGAACAACCCAAGAATCAATAACTAAAGGACCTCTCCAAAAACCTACCATTGCATTCTTAGCCAGAAAAATAGAAGACTGCAAGTAAAGAAACTCCCTGCCAGAACCAGAACAACAAAAACAAAGCTTTGAAAAAGGAATTAAGGACCGAAAGGACAACAAAAAGCCGAGGAGAAAGAAAACATGCACTCAATCCAGAGACCAAGACGGCTCTGGGGAAGAATATGCAGGCCAGATGGAAAAAAATCACAAAATAGGTCCAAGGAAGAATTAAAGCTAAAAGCCATCCAAGCCAAATCTGACAAAGCTGAATGATAAAAGGCGACAGTGTTCAGTACAAGATGCCGATCAACAAACAACCAGGACAAAAAGGAAAGGACCACCGAACCCAAAAAGGACAATAAATGAAGAGAATATGTACCAGGAAACCTTAAATACTGCAACTGTGATGAAAGTTGCAGGTGGGAGAAAACTCAACCACCTGCACACTACACAGATGGCAACAGACCAGTCAAACTCTCCACACTAAGATTCGGGAACCTCCAGCCAGCAAAAAGTCTCTGAATTCATCTGTTTAAAGAGGCAGAGCCATGGAAAGATGCCCGGGTTCAGACACAAGCCAGAAGAGCTGGAAACATGGACCTGATCATTCTTCCCACTGAAAACGGCCCTGACAGGTTGAAAAGCCCTTTCGGATTTACTTGCCCTTCATTGTGGTTTACAGCATTAATCTGATTAGCATCATAGATCATTTCATGCATAGTTAGGCTTTTATCTACCACAGATCCTCCCAAGGTCGAACAACTGACTACAGGATACAACCCCACAAGTCGACTTACTCATGGTTACCCATTTACTTATAGGTTAACAGTCATTAGGCAATAGGAAACATGGCCAATCATTACTGTCCAGCCCAGGATTCAAACCTGGAAATCCCAAGTGTGAGTTGAGAATGGACCCAATTGCACTACTGATAAAGTGATCACTCCAAGAAAGTTGTTTGACTGGGCAAAAGACAATATCAAGAACATGAACTTTGCGCAGGTCAACAAGTAGTAATGGAAAATAAAGTTGCTATACAAACAACAAAGATGCTAGGCCAGTACTGCACATGGAATTCGAGCATTTCAGGCTTTCATACCAGGATCAAGAAATGAATTAATAATAGAGATTTTCTACAGAAACAACTAGTGAAGTGCAGCAAATAAATATCCCACATGAAACTGTCTTTAGAAGAAATAAAAGGTTTTTGTGATACATCTATAATGATGCCTGGTAGTTAGGTTGTGCCGTAAATGTGAATGCATCATCATAGGTGGTTTTGATAAGTTTTCTACATCCCAATAAACCATCCTCATTTTGTGTATCCTCACCAGCCAGACATATTGAACATTCTGAGTGAACAAATTCTCATTATCCACATACTGCAATTAGGCAAACTTGCAAATCACATTAACTGTTGCAAACACTTAAAAGCTCACAAGCACTGCAGAGAAGGCACTAACTTGACATGATTGTAACTTTACCCCAGTTGTACACGACATATTTCATTCTCCGATGAGGTAATTTCCACAAACTAGTGCTAATGTACAAATCCACAAGGGCCTGTTTGAATTTACACACAGGATGTTCCCAGACACACCTTAGTCAACTGTACCAACTCATCCTAACCCCCCTTCCTTGTGGATTTGTTCATTTGATACATCACACTATTGTGATTGTGTGTATGAGTGCTAATGTATTTCATTGAATGTAAGGTATGCTATTTTCATATTTTTTCTTTTACTCCTTTTCCCAAAGCCATCCCAAAATGAAATTTATAACAGTGTTAATGCATTTAATTGTGCAACATTTCCCTCAAAATGTTAAAGATACTTTTTTTTGTATATTCAAGGTCCAAGGTCACATGTGATCTTAAAATTCAAAAATTAAATATTTAATGTAAAAAATTTTTAATGAAAATTCTTCCTTAGCTTCAAAACAAGCATACTATGAACTTTCTACCTCAGTTAGAAGGAAAGTTATGAACATCTTTTGTCAAGCTTGTAAATTATTATACTTTTCACATTGGCAATCCTGCTGTATGATCATCATGCACAGAGTGCAAAAATTTAGCATATTGATTAAAGTTACATCATGCCCACTACCATCCTACCAAATTTCATGAAAATCTGAGATGATTGTGTTGAAAAGTCCACTTCTTTCTGATGATTTGTAACAATAACAAATCCAAATGAAACACACAACTTACCAGAGGCTGTAGCTTGTAACAATAATCCTGGGTAATCATGAGCACGAAGAAGGCAAGTCTGTGCAGTTTGTAAATCACCTCGCTGCTGGGCCAGGTCTGCCACTAGTCGCCACTTATGCTCCGAGCCTGCTTCTATTGCCAGCTGATGACACACGTCTAATTCACCCAAACTCAAGGCTAGATCAAATCTGCAAACACACATATTAATTGACATTTATCCATAAAAATTGTGTGGAGGTAACATACATTAATAAAGTTCTGAAAAACAAATGATCATTAATTCATTACTCTCCTTCCTACTTGCACTGGGTGAGTAGGTATCAGTCCAAAAGAAAAAGGTTAGCAGTACAGTATGCAGGTGCAATCATACACTGAAGTCCATTGTACATACAGTGGAACCTCCACTTACGATGGTAATCTGTTCCCAGAGACGTATCGTAAGTCGAAACGAATTTTCCCATAAGAAATAATGGGAACTGAATTAATCCGTTCCACACTCCAAAAAATTAACTTCAAAGTAAATTTTATACCTAACTCACCCAAATCTTTAGTACATACTGAAGTATGTACAAGCTATTGCTTACCTTTATTGATTACTCTTGTTGGCATATGGAAGATTGTGAAAAGACGGAGAGGTATTAGTGTCTGGAAGGAGAGTTCCCTTCCATAACAACATCAGGAAGTGGTTGTTTTTCTTTATTCAAATTTTTTCAATTTTTTTTTAATTTTAATTTTTTTTTAATTTTTATAGAAAATGGAGCAGCCTACCTGACATTCCATGAAAGAACCTTCTAGACTTTTTTCAAATTTTTCATTTTTTTTATTTTTTTTTATTTTTTTAATTTTATATATATTTTTTTTTTCATTTTTTTATATTTTTTTTATAGAAAATGGGCCAGCCTACCTGACATCCACTGAACGAACCTTTTAGACACTTTTTTTCAATTTTTTTTAATGTTTGTCTGTAGGGATACATTACAGTGTCATTGAAAAGGTTAAGGCAACGGCCTACTGCAACTTGATTTGGGCGAGTCGTTTCAGCAAAAGTTTGCAGTTCTTCCCATGCTGCTGCACACATTTTCATAATAAATGAGGAAGGGACATCCTCTACATCAACAACCCTCATACCATTTCATGTTTATGAATGATCTCTTCTTTTTCCTCTGTGGTTATAATCACGTGTTTTCTTAGGTTGAATCTTACCACCGACATTCTTGGGACCCATGGCATGATACATAATTACTTTTATGTTCAAAAAACAAAAAATCACCAAAATAATGGAATCGCTTACAAACGTGATCGTCACTAAGAGGGCGGCTCTGGTAAACTGAGGCAGGTCTGCCCGCGTGACCAGGAACCATGTGCTTGGTCGACCCGAACACGAATCAACGAATATTGTTAGTCGAGTCACATTTTCTGACCAAATTTGTATCGTAACTTGAAATTATCGTAAGTCGGGGCAATCATAAGTCAAAGTGTCACAATGCGTAATCATGCAAATCGAGAAAACCAATCATATTTGTGCTATGTCATCAATGACTAAGTTAATAAACAACCAACTGCTTACTTGTGCTCTGGGTCTGTAGATACAGCAAGAGCTTGTTTCTTGAAACCTTGCTTTTCCAAGAAATGAGCCACACGTGTTCGGTGAGCAGGAGGTATTGTGGAAAGTACACGATCAGCAGTATCAAAGTCACGTCGCATAACGGCAGTCTGGTACTCCAGAACAGACACCAGTAATTCGTAGGACACAACATTTAGCTCTTTGTCACCAAGATACAATCTGTTGTCTTTAGGAATGTAGCCAATTAGGTACAAAGTCCTGTGAAAAAAAATAAACAAGTTATTGGAAGAAAGAATGCATTAGAGTAATAATTTCACATTACTTAGTATGGTACAGTATCTAAATTTCACAATGTAGACATACATTATTAAATTAACAAACAATACAAATAACATCTTACCTATCCAGATGAGCTATTGTAACAATCTCACCACCAACATAATAATTTAGTCTGTTCACCGAGTTGGTGTAAATAAAACAGTCGCCAACCCACTTCCCTGTCTTCACAATTTCTTGAACCTACAAAAAAAAAAAAAATTATTATTAGTACTCACCTAGTTGTACTCAGTATTCAGGAGAAATGAGCAACACACTCCAGCATTAATCTGCAGTAGCACCTCACTGCTTCTTAAGACAAAAAACTAGGAACCTCGCTAGGAGACTATTCCATAGTCACTAATAAGTATGCAGTCAGTCTTAGAATGGAGCTATCGTGCTTATCTTTCACCTATTCATGATACTGTCATTTATAGTTATGGTTACCAAATTAGGGACCGATTCTGAAAACTCAAAACTTACCTCACCAACAAGATCAAATGCATCTTCAATACCATCCTCTGTCAGGCCTTCTTTATTTTCTCTTGCATTTGTAACAGCATCAGCACAGTATCTGTTGATGAGGGGTATACCTTATTCTCTTTAGAATAGAGTGTATCAACATTTACACTATTTGTTACAAACCAACAATGCAATATTCATTATCTTACCATTATTCTAATCCTTCCATACAACAGGTCAGTAGAGTAACCTTTATCCACACCCCCAATCTAGCCAAATTTACTATAATTAAAAAATTATATTGATTGCCTCCTTAATATTTACCCTTCCATTACAGAGTCACTAAAAGAAGCATATGTGATATTTCACACTGGCTTAATAACTGCATTTTAATTTCAATTGATTAATTAAATCACTAAAGCCTGTAACAATTAACAAGTAGAGAAACACCATTACTTGAGAATGAAGTAGTTTTCATCCGTAGCAATGCAGACGTAATCACCATTTTCCGACCAAAATACTTGGCGAGGCTGGGTCTCAATCCGTCGCACCAGTTCTTGAGTTTCCCAATCATAAAATGCAAGACCTGTTGTGCTGGAGCGACATCCCAGAAGATAGCCACCATATATAGCTGCCAATGTGAACAAATAACATGCACATTACAAACAAGTGGTGCCTTCAGTTGTACAAGACAACTTTTATGAAAAACATTAAAATGAATACCACAGTATTAATTGCTGTAACAGTTCCTGTCTTTCCTTGGCTGCTACATTATATGGAGGACAAGGTCCTCTTTGAGGTGGGGTAAAAGATACTCCTCGAGGGAAGGGAAAAGTCCTCCCTAGAGGATGAGGAGAAGAAAGGGTCCTCTTTGTTGGGGGAGGGGGAGAATTTTCATTTCACAAACCTTTGCATGTTTTAAATAAAAACTGTTGCCCATATGATATATAGCTACTTGTAGTGAATATTTTTGTTAGGAAGAAAGTAAAGTACAAGTAAAGTGGGTAAACTTCCAAATCTACTTAAACATGAATGTTACACCTTATTGGATCACCAATAAGATTCAATGATATTTAAGAAATTTCCCCTCAAATCACATTAAAAATCAATCCCCAGGATTGAATTGCACTCATTTTTCCCCATTCTACACCCATCTTGTAGAATGGACAATCACCTTATAGTTTCCTCAACATTTTACACCTCCATTCTTTCAAGAACTACAGTATCTGTATATTTATTTTAAACCCATTTTTGTGTTCCCTACTCCCCAAGATTTATACAAAAAATACAATTTACCTTTTGCAATGCAACTCTAAAAACGGTTATCAAGCAGCTGTTATACAACCACTGACAATTTAAATACCATAAGTAGAACGATTGTGTACATGATTAAGATACATAATATATAGTAACATCCATTTTATGATGGAATCCTTACGGATTATCAACTTACACTAATGCAAAACAAATCTGTTACACTAAGTTTTATCTAACAAGCAAAGTTATGCACTATCAATACCAGAATCTTGTAGTGCCACTCCACACACCACCTGTATACCAAATCGCAGTTGGCCTGTTAACTAAATCTACTGTCAAAGAGGAAACCAGACAAAATCAGATAAGCTTAATTAAATGTCCTCCAATCTCCCATTCTGCCTCCTGCATCTCAACCTGCTTCATAGGCATGTAGCAGCCCCAACCTGTCCACCTCTTGGTAGTGCAATCTGTCTCATCTGCTATATTACAGGAATAGGGAAGAAAGCTGGGAACCCATTTTCCATAAATTTCTTCCTATTTCAGACAGTTTCCCTTTGTTATATCTTAAAACTTATGTTATTTTTATTATATTTCTGACTCTTAATTTTAATTAGTGTTATTTCCATATTCTCTCCATGGAAGTGGGAAATGAGATAATGATAATGTACCAACAATTGAAAAGTATGACAATGTGGGTCTGAAGACTGCAATTACCAATAGCCTGACTGACAAGGCAGCCACCAGGGAAGCATTTCCTTGGGCCAGGCTGTGAATAGGGCCAAATACTGAAACCAGTCACAGATAAAACACAGGTATAATTACTATAATTACCTTCACACCCAAAGTCTGGCTTGAAAGACTTTTTCTCCTTGAAGTTTTTGAAGAGTTTGACACTAAAGTTGGACTCTCTAATGGCATATTCAGAAGAATCCAGTGCCCACACAAATTCCAGGGCAGGACCAAATGCCTTATTTCTCAGAGCCATAGCAGTGTAGATGATATACTCTCCATCACCACACACCACCACAAACCTGTTTTATATAGGGTGATATTATTCATAGGCAACAATCTTTAATATCAACATGTTAACATAACTATTCTCAACGTTACTGAAATGACCCGTGAAGTAATGTAACCTTGTTAAGTAATGTTCTGTATAGGAAGCCGACTCATGACATTATATATCCTTAAAATAGAGTCCTTAACATTTTAACTGCAGGTACTAGTTTCACAAATGACATCTTGTAAAGATCAAATTAGAAAAATAATTATAAATTTGCATAGTCAATCAAATATTGGCATATAATGTATGCCAATATTTGATATTTATGCCATGATTGCCATGATTGGCATATACTGTACCTACTTAAAACAATTAGTAGTTTCAACTAATAAAAGATGTAATATTAAACTTGAAAAAAGACAGTTTAAACAATTACATTTGTCAGTTTCAGTCAGTTTCAAGTATTCTCATTTGCTTGGAGTCACACCCTTGAGAAATAAGTCTAGAGGCTGTAGCATGAGAAATATATGTTATTCAAGTGAAAACCCTATGCTGCAGTACTGTCAGGCCATCTTGGTAAATATTCATTAAAACTGTCAGTAGAGGAATGAAGAAAAAATTAAGGGTATGAATGATATCTCCTCTAAAGTTGCTGGGAATGAGTCTTTATTAATTTTTCCATACGGGTGCAACATTAGAAGTACAGTATGTACTCCATACTGTGAGCAAACTACTGAATTTACCTTGAAACAAATTTATATGGTTGGTGTAAAAAGAAGAAAAATCCCAAGATTTTCAAGCAACACCTATTTCTAGCAGGTTCTAATGGCCATCGTAGTATCAATATATATATATATACTGTATTAGCATCGGCGATAGTTTGTGATTGCATTTGTCACTAGTAGACAATGGGATGCATTCTACATAATTTCAGGGCATTGTTAATGTCAATTAAATTTCAAGTTTACTGTTTATTACTACAAATAAAAAATAAATTGCAATTAGATAATTGGTAATTCTGAAGATTTATCCTAAAATATAATAACTACATAAAGTGAAGGTAAATTTTTGAGTCCAAACTACAACAGGTTATCTTTTTGTTCACTCCACTGCCCTCATTTGTGATGAGCTCATCCTCAAGTTAGTCTAACACATTCTAGCCACTATTTCATTAAGAAATACAAAGCAAATTATTTAAAAATCCAAATAGTACTTTGAAAATCCAACAGGAAAAATATGTTTTGAACACTTGTTTCTCCCAACAAGTGACTACCCTGTACTTACACACAGTACCGTATCGTCCAACAACATTTACTTTCATTTTTCATGCAAGTGGTCTTTTGGCCACAATGGGCCTGAACCAATCTCATTCCAATACGTGTCAAACCTTCACTTGAAAAAATCCAGTGACCAAGTTTATAATGTTATTCAATAATTTATTCCATAAATTAACATTTCAAAATCTGTATTTTTCAAAGACTTCTCAGAATCTAAACTTATCCAATGTGTACAAGTTGATTCATGTTTTGTTTTTGTTTAATATCTAATGTCTCGTTTATTATACCCATTTATCCATTTATATACAGTATATTTGATTGATTTCTTTATTATGCACTCCATACCCATCCCAATCTTCACGAGTTTTTAATTCCTGGGAATAACTGTCAATCTGGTGACCTCCACTTGCAACTGTCTCACTCAAAAGTACAGAAACTCCATTTATGTTAATCCTGTTACTTTTGAAATAACCATACCCTTATCCAACTCGGAATAGCTTCCCAATATTATGTTCCCCTACCTTTCATTAGACACAGTACCAATGACTTTGTTGAAGTCAATTAAGACTGTCCCAGTGCAAGACTGTCCCAGTAGGTTACACAATATGATTAAAAAAATGTCAAGTCCTAAAGTAATGTTAAAAACAGTTCATACCTTCCATTAGGATTATGTGCAATGGTTTGAGGATATATATCGCATGCACCTAGATCCTTAACTGCTAGAGGCAGTCGTTCTCCATCCTGGGCTTCTGCATCGCCCATAGCCTTTAGATTTGCCTGCTGGATCTCAGAATGGCGAGCCCAAACAATCTTGCCACTAACATCCATTGACATGGCTGGTTCTTCACGTCCGAGCTGCAAGTTTGCAGGAGCCCAATATTACGAGAAAATATTTCATTACGATAGCGGTGATTATAGTCTAAATCTCAAATGTGTTCGGTCTCGAATGAGCTGGTCACTACTTTATTGATGATCATAAACCACCATACAGTACTGAACGTAAATATCAAATAGTGCACAAATTAAAAACTTAAGAAAAATACTGTAATCACATTTCCACTTATTTGTATAAGCTTACAATAAAACTATAATTGGTCATCTTACCTTCACCATTACACTTCCCTCATCATAACCAAAGCAAACATTATTGGATCCTTTTAGAGCACAGATACACCACACTCGGTCCAAGCCATAGTTGAGGGTGTTCTCCAGGCGGTAAGTGTTGGCATGCCACACTCTCACTGTGCAGTCCTCGGAACCCGTCAGGATAATGGGCAGCTCCGGGTGAAATGACACTGGTTAAAAAAAGGATTTTTTAATTAACCAACAATTCCTTTTTCCACTTACATAATGCACTTCAACTGTCATTAACACTTCCATATTTCCCAGCATTGGCTCCCATTTGTCACACACACCTTCCCATATTGTCAGTCCACCACTGATTATTTAAAAAAGTAAATGCCTGAACTAAATAAATTTTTTGTATTGCTATACTTTATTAATACAGGGATTAGTTTTTTCTTTTTCTAGTACCAAGAATAGCACATCACAGGAGATGAATGATGAAGCACTATTAGCAATCTTAATATCTTTGAGTACACATCCGTTATAGTATGCCCAGTATAGACTTATAAAGCACAATAGCTGTCCTCTGAATGCACATTTATTAGAAAAGGAACCAGTTTTTTCAATTTTGTAGCTTAATTACTGTACAGTACATACAACAGGTATAATTATGACTAACAAATGTAAACTTGCCTGATGAAACATTCTGCGAGTGTCCCTCCAGTGTCTGCACACACGTCTTGTTTTGGTAATCCCAGATCTTGACAAGACTGTCATCTGCACCGGAGATGAGGTATGGCTTGTCACCGCCATGATAATAATCAACACAGTTTACTCCTCTCTGATGACCCTCAAGAGTAAAGTTGGGCTGCGATGAGCCTAGCTGCCACACCTAAGGAAATTGAAATCAAATCAAGAAATGCAGTACAGTACCTACATACACGTAATCTATGCGTGTGCCCAAGTAATTGACTAAATGTAGTTACAGGATGAGAGCTGCACTCATTGTGTCCCATCTTCCCAGTCATATGACTTTGAAACTACAAACTGTTTTGACATACACCACCACCTTAAACTTATTTCAACGATCTACCCCCATTTGTAAAAAGAGAACATTATTTTTTTCAGCAGCTTTGTTTCCATAGCTTGAGTCTTTGACCTCTTGTTCTTGAAGATGCCATTTTCATTATTTGTTGTCATGTAGTGTAATGACAAATTTAATTCCTTTAGCCTCTCCTCATGGCGCTTCTTTTTCACTTTCTGAAGCCATTTAGTTGCATGTCTTGGCACTTTTTCCAGTATATTGATGTGGTTCTTGAGATATGGGCACCATTCAATCACTGCACATTCTGATTTTGGTCTCACGAAGATTGTGAACAATTTCTAATATTTCACCACCTACCACTTTACCTGCCCAACCACTTGGGCTGGGCAGTAGGGCAACGGCAGAGCTTCATGCAGGTCGGCGTTCAATCCCCAACTGTCTCAGAGGCTGGCCACCATTCTTTTGCCCCATTCCATCCCAAATCCTTATCCTGATCCTGTCCATGTGCTATACTGTACATTGTAGTCGTAATGGTTTGGCCCTTTCTCCCAATAGTTCCCTTCCCACCCATTTATTTAAAGACTGATTCTGAAGTTGAAAAGCATAGCATAGGCTCCTCGCAGTCTTTTTCTGTGGTCCTCAGGTGACAGTTCTTATTTAGAACCACTCCTAGATCTCTCTATTACGAGTTTTTCAAAACCTTTTCACAAATTTTGTGTTGTGTGGAGCCTATTTTCTCCTACTCCACATTCCATAATGTGGCATTTATTCACATTAAATACCATCAGTCAAGCATTGCTTCATAAAAAAATTTTGGCCAGGTCACCTCGAAGGGCATGGCAATCATTTAATAAGTTAGTGGATACCTAACTGGACCAGGAAGGAGAAGAATGAATGATGGAGCAGAAAGGCTTTCACATGAAGGCATGATTTATCAGTGGAGGAATACATCCTGGGGAAAAATGGCTAAGAAAACTTGAGCACATCTGACAAGGTTGTTCACCCACTCAACCCTGTCCTGATGACAAAGGAGGAAGAGGGGAGGGAGGCGCCTACATGTTAAGTTGGATGTGAAAGAGGGAACCAAGTTAGCAAACAAACCTTTTAAGTACAGCATAAACAATAACTTTTTTATTGAATACTTTTTCTTACATCTTGTTCACAATTAATATAATTAATGTTAACACTGATCAGTAAGTGGTTCAATATTTTTTTAATGCGTACTGTACCTCGTATTAAATTTCTGAGAAGTGCATATTAACCTGAATTATACTATGAAAACACAGGCCAATAATAATTTTTGAAAGTAAAAAAAAAAAAATCTGTTACACCATAACTGAAAATAGACAAAGTAGTACATCTTACAATTTTCAAAAATACATACTGATTAATTCCTGCCTAATACATTACTAACACACACTACCACTTCATGCTTTTACAGTATGGTCAGAGCACTAGTACCACACACACCTGACATTCTTCAATGTCCACGTCTCTCTCTCTTACATTCTTATGGTTTTCATTATTATTAATTCTTCGTTTTTGACACACTCCCTCTCAATCTCATCCCCCCTCCCATCCCCAATCTCTCTCTCCCTCTCATCTCAAGATAACCCCCCCCCATTCTCTCAATCTACATACTTCCCTTAATCCCTCCCCCCACCCATCTATCTCCAATTTTTATTCTGCCATTCATTCTTATATAATGCCTTGACACTCCAATAGTTGCTTGAAATTTACCTTAACAGTACGGTCCAGTGATGCAGAAGCAAAAGTGTTGTTGTCCTTGGGATTGATGACAATCTGCATGACATAATGTGAATGTCCTTCAAACACTTGCTGACAAGACCACTTCTTGTCCCAATTCCACAGCTTTATTGTCATGTCATCTGAAGGAAGTCAATTTATTAAAACATGAACACAAATATATGCACACACGCACACACAAGGAGAATTCACCTTAGCAACTTACTACAGATTATTTTCCAGACACCTTTACAAATGGGAAATCTTGAGAAGCATATAGGAAAAGGCAAATATCCTTATTTATTAAAATGCTAACAGAGGACTCATTCAAATGTAGACCAGCACCACTGCCAAGTGAGGTAATTAAATGGGTGGAATTTCTTAAAAGAAATTACATGATAAGAAAGGCAATGTGGTTTGCAAATTGGAAGGGAAGAGTGTTAACAAATTTAACTAGTTTTATGATAGTGACAAAAAGTATGTTGTCAAACAGACTGCATCTATCTGGACCTATAAAAGGAATAAATCTTCAAAGTCCTACACAAGAGAGGCTGTTCTGGAAGTTAAAATACTTAGGTAGACCACCATCATAGATGGACAATTTCCTAATGAACGAAGTGATCAAGTAACAAATCAATAAAAGTGCCATTAACAAAGCCACAAGAGTCAATCCTGGTGCACATAATGGTCATTGACAATAAATGATTTAGCAAAATTGCCATTTTTTACTTTCCAATATCAGGGACATACCATATTTGTGCTCTGTTTTCAGCATTTGCAAAAGTGTGTAGATCACTAGATCAGAAAAACAAGCATTCAATGTGTTAGTTGTATTGTGATTGTGTACACACTGAATTCTAGGAGCTTTTTTTCCTTTTAAATACTGAACTATATTAAACATCACCTCACACAGCAACATGGCTTCAGTATACCACGCACTTCACTAAGTCTAGCCACTCGACCACAGCATACTGCTATTATCATAATATTCCTGTTAAAGACTGACCAAACTGGTGTGCATTTACATTGATAGTATAAAATAACTTAATTGTTTATGATCAAAATAATTATTTAAACATTTACTATACTGTACTTAAACAATATTCAAATTTAAATTTAATTATTTTAAGCTGGTAGGCCTTATCTTTATTTTGCAAACAAATAAACTGTCCTCCTGAAAATATACAGTATTTAATATTGCACAATGAAATCACAAGAAAGTGATAAATCTGATAAAATATTTAGGCTATATAATATGACTGAACCCTCATATTGTACCTAAACTGGAGTGTTCAAGTATTTGAGTTCAACCCCATCGTGTGGCCACAACATTTTCTCATTTAACGTTAACTTCATCGACCGATGATTATCCTTCCTTTAAATCCTGTGCTTTTTTAATGATACAATTTCTTCTTTTTCCAAGTTTGTGGACAGGCACCAGTCTGTGGGCCACTACTGAGTAGCAATGACTAAGATGACTTAAGCCATAGAAAATTACCCAGACAAAATATAGCAAGTATACCTGTCGATTTTGAGGATCAACATCCTCGCAGCCCGATCTCTATTCAGGCTCCCTGGTCGGTCTGGTCAACCAGGCTGTTACAGCAGATACAGCTGCTTGCAGCCCAATGAATGACACAGCCTGGTTGATCAGGTATCCTTTGAAGGTGTTTAATAAAGTTCCCTTTTGAACACGGCAAGAGGACAGCTAGTTATGCCCCGAATGATTAAAGGGAGAGCTGAAAAAGTCTCAGGCCTTAGATGTTGTTAGAGTTCTCACTGAGCATAAATCCGCTTTTCTATGGTGCTATTCTGCACATCCTGCCATGCCTTCTAGTCTCATATGGTGTTATTTCTGTGCAGATTTAGAACCAGTATTCCTCCTACTATTTTCTAAGTGTCAATTACTGTATTATGCATCTCTCCCACCCACAATCTCAGGAAAACACATTTAAAATTTTCAAGCAGTCTAAATACTTTAGATGTTTTGTCAAGTGTATTCCAGCAGTAAAAGATCTTTACACACACTCGTCAGCAATTTCTCCAGAATGCACAGTACAAATGACTAAATACAATGAAGGATATATATCACATTGTGGTCCAGATAACTGAAAACAGACATTACGCATCCTACAAATTATGTAAAATGATTCTTAGAAACTGTGAGATTGAATTTTTTTGAGGCAGTACTGAATAGTGAACTGGTACCAGAGGACCACATTACTGCAAATAACAGGAACCAACAATACTAAGGCCAATTTCAGAATTGCCTTGAGAATCAGATGGTAAAATTCTACATCTGATATCCTAAAATAGACTATACAGCAATTGTAGGGTACCCATCTCAATAATACAGTATATTAATAAATTTAAAAGCATGCAAAGACATGCTATTATATGGCTTCTTGACCTAAATCAATGAAGGCATTAAATATGTTAAATTAATAAAGAGGAGATATGATAGTGAATGGTTCTAGAAAAATTATGCTCCTCTGCATAGAGGTAGAATTAATCAAATGAATGAAAAGTATGCAAAAGCCATCAGAAGCTTTAAAACTTTATATAACAATGACTAGGGAAGACAGACCATCAGGAATACTGCACATCCTGTATTTACACTATTTAGTTAGGATGTGTTACATCACATGAGAATTGTTAGCAAGAGATGATACCGTGTGTAGATTTGCCTATAACACCTTAAAAAGAATTATAACACCTTAAAATAAAGAGAATTATCCCCATTTTCATGTGAATAAACATTTTTGCTTTTTGTTTAATAAATTAGATATTAAGCACACATTTTCAGGAAATTCTCTCTCACTCATATTGCAAACTTTTGTCATATCAGTCACAAAGGATCATCCGCCATATAATTAGCCGTCAATAAATTTGACGAACAGAAATCCGATTTCCTGCACTACCCGGTAGAGATCAGATACGACCTTTATCTGCCAAGATCTCCTCAAGATCCTGTGTCACTGCTCTAGGCATTTGATCTTGTTGATAGCTGTTGTGAGCACTTGGCATTCCTGCCCAGCTGAACTGCATAACTCAGTATTCCAAGTTTAAAGTAATCATTGACAATCTTCTGATTGCTTATGCTCTCAAAATAAAGAAAATGGTTATTATGTCCTTCAATCTTTGCTTTCATCTTTACCCAAAACAGCTTAGGGAAAATATCTTGAAGGTACTTGAAGGCTGTCGACTCCTAGGTTATGGCTATGACTTTTCTTATATTGGCAGCCTTGAGGTACAGGTACCATAAAAGATGTCTTCACTAAGCTGTCTTAGGATAAGGAAAAAGCAAATGTTTGCAAGGAAATGGCCATTTTTGTACTTTACAGGCATAATCAATTGGAAAATAACACTACCCAAGAAAAATAAAATCACGATGTTATTAGTGTATTATGTAACATGTTATCTGTGGTCACGAGACCTAGAACTTACTTCAAAGCACAGAAGAATAGTTGTCTGAATGAAGTTTTATTTAGCTGGTCTTTGTGAACCCTTGTACAAACCTTAACCTGATCTTCCTTTGTCTGATAAACTAATGTATTCTAACCAAATCTTGCCAGTTTATCATATACAACTAAACAAGCACACATCTTCACCCACTTTGATAATACTTGATTCAATACTTGCATTCTAAGATACAATTTTCTCCTATTCAGATTAAACTGCAGCAACATAAATATGCACTTACCACTGCAAGTCAAGATGAATGGCTGAGTTGGATGAACAGCAATACATCTAACATAGTCCGAGTGAGCCTCAAACTGGTGAACACGTTCAAGTGTGTTGTAATTGAACACACGTACTTGCATATCATCTGAGCCAGTCACGACCCAATTTTTGCGAGCCACAAATTTTGATGCTCTGACTGGAAGATCACATACCTTAAAAAAAAATTATTTTATATTTTATTAAAATTAGGATAACTAACAAATATAGCTAACTATAAATAATATATATGGTCAGTAACTTTGTATTCAAACAAGTCGGGGTCAAACCATACTGAAAAACTAGGCATACTGAAAAAACTCAAAAAATTTGAAAATAAATTTGTACTTGATAAAAATGGTGTTCTGCTCAAGATCTTGGTAAATTTTGTAGTTTGCAACACACATTAGTTCTTTCAATTTGACTTATCTTAAGATTTAGGCCTATGGCCACTTACTGGAACTATAAATGTTATTGAACAAGGTTTTTATAGAATGTGATCCACCAATTTATTTACACCCAGATCTCCAATTATTGCTTCACACACACACACGGGAAAACAGTGAAGAAATTATGCTGAACAGTTCACACTTGATATATGTGTCACTTGCACCATGAGCGGTTCATTATATTATCTTTATTCCTATTATTCCCCATTAAAATGCAGTACACATTATTGCAGCTTTATTTATCCCTAGAATTAAATATTAAATGAAGTAAGATTATTTTAGCTGGACATTTATTTTGCAAGGATATTATGCGAGTGATAGATGGGTGGTGGATTCAATTTTTTTTTTTTTTAAAGTAATGTATTCAAGCATTGACTTTTACTCTTTCTTTAATCACATGGTCATTTAGCAACTTAAATGTATTCACTGAATTATTACAGTACATATTAACATTAATTAAAGAACAGTACAGTACTGAAATAGTGTATTCTAATTTAGCCATACATACTGAAATGTTTATTTGGTTTATGCTTTTTAAGAATTCAGTATTGGTGATGAATATCTCAAAAATATTATCTTAACGAACTTTATGGGTTTAGCTACGGTAATTCAGTTGTGTTTCTTGGAGCACTCTGTTCAACTTACTTTACATTAAGCAAAATTTAACTTCTCTCTCCATCACTTACCTCGAAACTTTTAACAAGCTGTTGGCTCTCAATATTCCAAACATGAACATTGCCATTATAGAGCGAAGCCAACATCCATGGTTCTGTTGGATGGAGGTCAACCGATTTTACACGATCAGACCGTGCTGTTAGCTTCCGCTTTACATCTAAACGCAGCGGCTGTGTGAAAAAAAATTTTTAGTCCTGCAACACCATGTTTCCAAATTCAATAAGCATAAAAATGAATGCAATTTTGTGATGAAGATTTATACATTCAATTAGATTTAAAGTTTAATACTTCATTATTATTATCTGCAATAGTAATATATTTATTAATGGGTAATATTTCTTTACCAAAATGACAGTAATAAGGTAAATTAACTACTGAAAGAAAAACATAAGTATTTTCTTGTATATGGGCAGCAAGTCCTTTCAAAATACAGTACTGTATTGCTTTTCCAATGAATAAAACAATGCAGTAGTCTAAATTAATTGCTACGACATTGCTAAAAACTTTTATTTACATGTTTTAATATCCTAATAATCAGAACTAAGAACAGACTACCATATATGAAGATCACTGAAGATCATAGCTTGCCATTCAAAACCAAAGGATTAAACCAGCTGTGGACACATTGCCATTTGACCCCCACACATCCACAGGGTTTACAAATTACATTGTCTTGTGTGACATTGCATACAAGGGATTCATGTACAATACTGTACTTAGGCTTACTGCACATAACAGTGACACATGCCCTTTAGTGAACATCAACCATGGGTCTATCACCTGCTGTAACTCAAGACAGAACACTATTTTTTTTTTTATATATATATTTACATTCACAAGGTACAGTAGGTTTTCTAACAATATTAGTGCACATATTTCAAACTCCAGCGCGATAAAATTATCAGGACAAATGGCGAAAACCTTTAACAAGCCGCCAGCTTCCTGTCCTTGTCGAGGCCACTGAAGACAGTGCTCCTCAGGTAAATTCAGGTAAATATTCTTCTGCAAAATGATGATATAGAACAACAATACAAAGTTATCTGAAAATGATATAGTTCAGTACATTTTTGAGCAGCTCCTCACCATATCATCCATAAGACAGACGGGTTTCCGTCTTACCGTCAAAACCTAAGCATCAAAAGTTCAAGACACTACTAAGTCAGCTGTCAACAGACCCGGTCCACATGATGACATGTCACTACACATCTCCACACTATACCTCTCCCACTCACACTCGAGGCTGTAGCCTCGCACCCATCATACTTTGTCATTATTTACTTACCATTGTGGTTTATGTATAAATATCAATATTTATCAAGAACACAGGACACAGCCCAGATCTCCCTAGAGTGCCTTCCGACGTGTCAACTACACGGCGCATGCGCCCTGCTGCCTCCTGTTCGCAGCTTACTTCGAACCTTTCATAACTTCTCGAACACTATTCAATGTCTCGAACATTACTAAACTGTAATTTTGTACAGGCTTTTGTAGCCTCATTGAAATTGAAATTGAAATTGAAATAAGTTTATTGAGGTAAAATACACACAAAGGGATGAAATTGAAATTGAAATTGAAATAAGTTTATTGACAAAGGGATGAGGTAGCTCAAGCTATTCTCATCCCGTTCAGTACATCGTGTTAATACATTCATATAAACACATCACAAACAATAAACATATTACCAAACATTCTGAGAGATAAACATCTACATTTCCTCCTTTACACAAGTAGTATGGTATCAGACGTACACACAAATACTTTTATGACCTAGGTATACTGCATAGACAATTTGCAAGAGATGTGCAGATAATTCAACAAAAGATTACAGCCTTGGTGCAAAATTCTTGTATCTCTCAAGAATATCATCAACCTTTCCGTTGCCTCATTGTAAGACTGTTCGAGGCTTTGGTAACATTATTGTTGTGTTCGAGGTCTCAGAAGGAAGGTTGAGAGGGTCGAGAGGCTTCGTGGCCAACATCAACATTAATGAAAAGCACATCAGGACAAGATGTTTGAATTCCTACTCAAATATTCACTAAGGCCGTGTATAATTCCCATCTATCATTAAAACAGGTACGATTAATTCTTGCGATTAAAATTCCCGTCTTTGTATTTGTTATGCGTCAGTGTAGGGCAGCTTGAGCGGTATTAATAGAGGAGGTTCGTCATTGTGACAGCAGTGAGGAAGATACATTAACTTCACGTGATCACAGGAGCAGCCAGAAACCTCTTTAGCATTATCGACATCTTGCCAAACAGGTCGCAATGGTCCAGAAATTCGAGGTGGAAGGTTTTGATGCCTTTGTGGAGAAAGTTGATTCGTTAAAGACCTCAGGGAACCCGATCTTCGTACTGTTCTCTGGCTCTAAGGATGCCAATGGGAAGAGTTGGTGTCCGGACTGTGTGGTGGCTGAGCCAGCCATCAAGGCAGCGCTGGACAAAGCCCCTGAGGATGCTGCCTTCATCTACGTGGGTGTGGGTAATCGAGACTTCTGGAAGGACAAAAAATGTGTGTTCCGTACTGACGCCCGCACCAAGCTCAAGTGTGTCCCAACCCTCATCAAGTATGGAGGCCCTCAGCGCCTGGAGGAGGAGCAGTGTGCCCAGGCTGACCTGCTCGAGATGCTCTTTGAAGATGCTTAATTGGTTGCCTCTGCATGTGGGTGTTGATTTTCGGTCACCTTCAGCCACTTTCATTATTTCCCATCTCTTGATTTATTTCAGAAATTTAAGTTCGATAGTTATATTTAAATTAGCACATAATAAATATTTGTCTTTATATGAAGCACTTGGCATAATGTTGCAATTTGTTACAAGAACCTGTTTTTACAATGCCAAAAATTACTTAATGTAGTATATTGGGCAAGTTTTTGAGCTAAGGAATAATTCTTCTACATTGTAAACTTCTATGCCATTTTATACTCTTTAGTTGCTATACTTTCCTCATATTAATAATTACAGTCTTTATTTAAAAAATGCCATAATGCATACCCTTGAAATGCATTTGTATCTTCAGTTCAGGAAGAACTCGAAGATTTCAGTAAAGACTGCATGCAAAGAAAAGATCTCTGTAAAGAATGCATGCAAAGCAGCAGATAAATGCAATACAATATACTGTAGTACTATAACAATTCTGCAATTGTTATAACACTAGACAATGGGTTCACCCATTAATTGTTTTGTCCAAAAGTAAAAGTATTTATTGGTCTGGAATTGGACAGTTCATTTATAAATTGTAAAATCATAACAGTTTTGTAACTTGGTAATTTACATAGGATACTTTAAACAGTATTTTGCAAATATAGTTAATACAGTTCATGCAGTGGGCCATTTTACATGTAGCCAATTAAAGTCTCACAATTTTAAAGTAGGAAATACTGTACAACCATAAAACAGCATAAATCTATATCCGTTTAAACATTAAAAGTTTGAGTTGCATAAATATATGTATTCAATTTTTTTTTTTTTTAATTTTACATGTTGGCATTGAGAATGTTTTAACCAACTGCGTTAATCATAACGTTTGCTTTGGTTATTCGGGACACCCTGGTGTGTAAAAATACAAGGTTTCCATTAAAACAAAATACTATAAATTAGACTAAGCAGACCTGCTATGCTAAAAATAAGATCTTATCATGACAGTAGTATTTTATACTTGATGAAATGTGTTATATACAATACTGTAATAAAATGTTAGTAACATTTGTTTTGTCTTGCTTCCTAAACTTTATGTGCTGTACTTTGAACTAACTCATATGCAGTAGTTAATATAAATTAATATAATATATTTATATAAGTTAATATATTAATATAAGTTAATACTGTATAGTTAATATAAATGTGAAAATAAGGATTAAGGACTTGCTCGAAATGCTTTGCGTGCTAGTGACTGTACAAGAATGTAAGAACTCTTATATATATAATTAAAAAAATAAAAAATACAGTATTTAAAACAATTACTAATACTTGCAACAGTTTTATGGATGGGTTTAATCAAATTCTTAACTTGCATTTGTGAAAAGTTTGCAGGAAACATGTTTATGGATAGAAAATAAATCGCATTTACTTCCATATTGCTGTGCTAACATCAAGTTAAAACCAGGCTTATGTCACCATGATTGTAGTTTCCATCTTTATTTTTTTTTATTTTTTTTACATATCCTTAAAATGTTTTAAATGTCCAAAATATTTACAGTAATGTAAATTTTCTTGGGTCATATGACAATTAAGTTGGTATGTGAAATTATGGTTCTCATTTATTTAAATATTAATAAACTTTGAAATTAGTGGAATAAAACAGCATATTGAATATATTTTGAGTTTAGTTTCTTATCTTTGAGTTTTATATAGCAGTGCTAATACGGACACCCACAATGACAAATCATAATCTTGTTAAAATTACATAAGTACTATGCGGAAAAATGCATTTGAAGAATTGGGGAATGCTGGATGCATTTTTGGCTCAGTTCACCAAGGCCACTAGTGTTGGTGGCTCTCGGGTAAACCCAGGTTACAAGAAGTAGTAAGGTGCCATGAGAAAGCTATTGAGGATATTTAAATCTCAATTCTATGGTTTGTTTTAATTTTGATTTTGCAAGATTTTTGTTCACTCAGGTATGGCCCTGCTACCTTTTGAAAATGAGCTTTGAGGCTGGAGACGTGAGAAATATGTTAGGTGTGGTTGAATTTTCTTGCAAACATGTTCATTTGACAGTTGTCTATTATAAGTGATACGTGAAATTAGTCCATAAGGCACGGGAAATGCATCCTGGAGGCATTTCCGGTTAGAACGAATTGGGGTTGGTAACAGTTCATTGAATCAAGGTTGAACTGTTCTAAAATATAAACAAAACAGGACACTAAAACACTGAATCTGAAAAAATTATAAAAGGTTTATTATGAAGTACAGTAATGCTAAAAAAAATATTAACATAATATGGCAACATTAAGCTGTAATTGTATGAAATAGCTAAAGTGCAAATAAATTTTTGTGGCTGTTAATCAAAACATTTCAAAGATGTTTCACTGATACAATATCTAAGTGATAATGAACTTTGTCATAAATTTTTTTTAACCCCAAGTATTTTATTTCCACCGTGAACTGGAGGTCAGTTTTGGATAAAGTACCACTAATACACTGTAGTCACAGTTCTTCATTGTATCTGATATATGGCATTCAATCAGCACATTATGTGGATAATACTAAATGTTCTCGAAGCACTTCAAAAAAAAATTTCATCTCATTGTTTTACACATTTCCTCCTTCTGTATACCATATAGCTTATTCTTTGTTTTGCCATTGGTGAATTTAGGTGGAGGTAAATCCATACACAGGTGATGAGATGAAAGATGCACACCTAGTGGTGTATAGACAGTTACTCTCATGAAGAACTCAATATGGGTGAGCTTACATTTAGAAATCTAAGTCATGAGTAAACTCCCACAGTATCTGACCCATCTATCATGTGTGTTTTCTTGCACCCTTCTCTCATGCATAATAAATACTTGACTTTAATCTTATTTCATAAAAAGGTTTATATAGCCTAACTAAAAGTTGCAAATGCATGTTAGTATCCACCAAATAACCCCTTTGCCCCATGGTCTTGTCAGTCATTTCTAAAAATACTACCTGTACTTATTTTCAGAAAGCCAACCCATCCTTGCAGTCAGTGACAACAGACTTTGACAAAGGAATATGAACTCATGCTGAAGTATGTCTCCACCACATAATCAAAATGTCATAAAGTATGGGTAAGCTGTAATACCTGCATGTGGTGTGTCATTAAGTGAAAAATTTAAAAATTTCTTTAAGAACAAGTATATTTACATACAGTATTAGACTATGCTGTATGCTTCTAATGCCACTGTGCAGCACATTACAGTACAGTATATTCCTACGGCATGTCGCTAATCAAGTTTTATTAGTTCCATTTTTGTCTGTTGCTGAAGCTAGTGAGTTAGTTTCTGAATCTTTACTTATTTGAGATAGAGCCAAGTTTAGTACAAGAGTTGATTGAACTGTGTGCTGCCACGAGGAAAGATTTATTCCAGTTGATTAAGAAGGTGAAGCAGATGCGGAATTGTCACAATTGGATGAAGCTAAGGTGCATAGTGTTCCTGTGAAAATACCAAATTGGGTTAAAAAGAGATAATGTATTAGAAAAGCAAAAAAAATTATGAAATGCATATAGCAGGGCAGGCGGACAAACCCCCCAAAAACATAATTTACATTCTTTTGAAAGGAGAAGAGTAAAGGGTGACATTGTTGAAGTATACAAAGAGTAAAAGGGTATAACAAATTACTGTAGATATAAATAATGTCTTAAATATACAGTACAGTATATGAACACAAAATATAATATGAAACAATGGATAAAAATTGGATAAGTTTAGATTAAAAAAATACTTGGTTAAATACTGGTTTGGAAAGAGGGTAGTTGATCAATGGGACAAATTACAGGGAAACATAATAGACACGGGATCACTTGATTGTTTCAAATGTAGGTTAGAGTTAGAGTACATGAATATATTTGGGTGGATATTGGGGCTACCTCATATGGGCCAATGGTCACCTGGATGTGACCATTGGCTCATGATCATAGGTGAGAACTATGGATGACCATTTCTCTGGAAAATGAAGAATAACTTGCTCAAAATATTATTATCCCAGTTTTGACTTTCATTGGATACCAAAATACTATATACAGTATATGTTAAACAAATAATGTGGCATATTTAGTTTAGATTATAATCTATTTATTGACTATTTTTACAGAAGTTTTTGTGAATAGATCCAACAACAATCAACACGATGAGAGTGACAGGCTTAATCCCAGCACGATTTTTAACACTGACATCACATGTGGTGCTGTTGATTAGTGTGTTACTGTCTAGGGTAAGCATCTTGTTGTGTTTGTGGACTAATGTAATCTAGTTTAAAATATGATTTTGTTTTAAGTGCTTAAAAATCAGTGGTCTAGAGGTACAGTAGTTTCTTAACTCTTTTTAAATAATTACCTAAGTGTAGTTACAGGACGAGACTACGTTCGTGGTATCTCGTCTTTTCAGCACTCTTGTCATATAATGCTTTGAAACTAATGATGGTTTTGGCCTCCACCACCACCTCACCTAACTTGTTCCAACAATCTAACACTATGAAAGTGACTTTTCTTATATTTCTTCGGCAGCTTTGTTTTGTTAGTTTAAATCTATGACCGCTTGTTCATGAAGTTCCAGGTCTCAGGAATTCTTTCCTATCTATTTTATCGATTCCCATTACTATTTTATCCGTAGTGATCATATCGCCTATTTTTCTTCTAACTTCTAGTCTTGGCATATTTAATGCCTCTAATTTGTCCTCGTAGCTCTTGTCCTTCAGTTCTGGATTCATTTAGTTGCATGTCTTTGCACCTTTTCCAGTTTGTTGATGTGCTTCTTGAGATATGGGTACCATACAACTGCTGCATATTCTAACATAGTCTAACACAAGGCGTGAACAATTTCTTTAGTAAGTGTAACATAAATATAGCAATATCAGTATCCACAGAATTATAATACACTGTATTAATAATTTGTTGTACTGTATTTATTATAATAAAATGTGTTTAATATGTGTTATACAGTATATGTACTGTATTGTGTTAATCTACAAATTACATTTAGTAAAAGCTAGTATAAAAATAATCAAACATAATATACTGTATATTGGTAAATATTTTGAGCAATACATGAAATCATTAAGAGATAGACTAATATTATTTATTTATTTATTTATTATTTATTTATTTATTTATATACCTGTATATACAAGAAGGCAAATTGGGTTTATGAGAGTACATAGCATTGATGATTTATATTCTTGTAAGGCCACTAGCAATATCTTATAACATAATGTGTACATTTTGTACAATTGGTTAGTGTTGCAAATAAATAAATGAAAAGATATGGGATGACAAAGTTGGCGTCAATTACTGAAAGAAAGGATGGGATTTGCTCAACTAAGAGTCCCTGTATATCATGTTACAGTGGTACCTCGGAATGCGATTGTCCCTGTATGCGAGATTTTCGGAAGGCGAGGTGTATTTACTCCAAAAATTTGTCTCGGAAGGCGATGGTTACTTCGGGAGTCGAGTTTGAACGCGAGTTTGTTGATACGCGTACAGCCGACCTAGCGCGTGGTCGTTCGGCGATCGTCGCCCCTCTGCCCCGCTGCCCCTCAGTTCACCATTGTCTCGCGCGCAGTGACTACCCCCACATCAATTCTTGTCGTGAATTTTCAGTGTTTTGTTGGATTTTTGGTGATTTGTCTATACAATTTGTTATTATATATCTCACCATGAGTCCCAAGAAAGCCAGTGGTAAGGATAAAGGCCAGAAAGCTCATGTGAGGATGACAATAGAGGAGAAACAAGAGATCATTCGAAAGCATGAGAACGGTACACGTGTTGTTGATCTTTGTAGGCAGTACAACAAAGCGACATCAACAATATGCACTATACTTAAGAAGAAAAATAAGATCATGAGTGCTAATGTGGCAAAAGGAGTAAGAACATTAACGACACAAAGACCACAAATACTTGAAGAAGTGGAAAAGTTGTTATTAATTTGGATACACGACAAGGAGTTGAGGGGTGATAGTGTTTCGGAGGCCATTATTTCTGAGAAAGCCAGGGTGTTGCACGAAGACCTTCTAAAGAAGACCCCTGCAACGAGTGATGCAGATAAGAAAGAGTTTAAGGCAAGCAGGGGCTGGTTTGAAAAATTTAGAAAGAGAAGTGGTATCCATAGTGTTACAAGGCATGGGGAGGCAGCCAGCTCAGACAAACCAGCCGCTGGACGATTTATTGACGAATTTAAAGAGTTTGCAGAGGCTGAGGGATACCTACCGCAACAAGTGTTTAATTGTGACGAAACAGGACTGTTTTGGAAAAGAATGCCTAAGAGGACATACATTACCAAGGAGGAAAAATCCTTGCCTGGACACAAGCCTATGAAAGATAGGTTTACGCTTGTGCTGTGTTCAAATGCGAGTGGCGATTTAAAAATTAAACCCTTGCTAGTGTATCATTCTGAAAATCCAAGGGTTTTCAAACAGTATAATGTGCAGAAAACCCGTTTGTCTGTGATGTGGAAGTCTAATAAAAAAGCATGGGTGACTAGGCTTATTTTTTCGGAGTGGGTGAATGAAGTGCTGTGCCCTGCCATAGAAAAATATCTGCAGGAGAAACAATTGCCACTCAGAGCCGTGCTTCTCCTTGACAATGCTCCTGCTCATCCTCCAGGCTTGGAAGATGATTTGATGCCTCAATACAATAAATTCCTCACAGTTAAATTCCTTCCTCCTAACACCACTCCTCTAATTCAGCCTATGGACCAGAAAATCATAGCGAATTTTAAGAAACTGTATGAAAGGGCACTTTTCCGGAAATGTTTTGAAGTGACTGAAGCCACAAACCTCACCCTCAAAGAGTTCTGGAGAGAGCATTTTAACATTTTTAGTGCTTTAAAACTCGTTGACAAAGCCTGGCAAGAAGTGACTCAAAGAACCCTGATCTCTGGCTGGAGAAAATTGTGGCCTGAAGGTGTGAGAGAACTAGACTTTGAGGGGTTTGAGCCTATAAATGATGCACCTATTGTTGAGGAAATTGTTAGTCTAGGCCAGAAAATGGGCTTGGAATTGGATGGTGATGATGTGGAGGAGTTGGTGGAAGAACACAACGAAGAACTGACCACCGAAGAACTCCTAGCCCTTCAACAGGAACAGCAAGCCAACACAGCAGCGAATGATTCTGCAGTGGAGGAGGAGGTGGTGGCAACAGCACCAGCGAATGTCCCTTCTGCAGTAATTAAGAAGGTGTGTCAGATGTGGGAAGAGATTCAAACAACTATTGAACACACTCACCCAGACAAAGCTGTAGTAGGCCGTTGTCTTAATCTTTTCAATGACAATGTGATGCCTTACTACAGAGAGAGCTTGCGAAGAAGGGAAAAGCAAGCTTCCATGGACAAATATTTGGTGAAGAAATCGAGCAGTGAGCCTCAACCAGGACCTAGTGGCACTCAGGTTAAACGTCCCAGGGAGAGCACACCAGAAAGGTCCTCACTGCCTGATGTGATTATGGAAGGGGACTCCCCTTCCAAACAGTAACTCCTCTCCTCCTCCCCCCTCCTCACCATCTTCCATACGCCTACAGCACTCGACAGTAAGGTAAGTAATAACTGGAACATAGTTTTGTAGGTTTATTTAGATGAATTAGGTAAATTAGGTATAAAAATTTAGTTTGATGTGGGGTTTTTGGAGTAGTCAGGAACGGATTAATTCATTTCCCTTTATTTCTTATGGGGAAATTAACTTCGGAATGCGAGTTTTCGGAAGGCGAGGCGTCTCCAGGAACGGATTAAACTCGCATTCTGAGGTATGCCTGTATATGTGCAGCGTGTAATGGTGAAGGTTTCCAGGAAACATGAGTTACATGGTCGAGGACCGGGCCGCATGGACGCTAAGCCCTGAAATCATCTCAAGATAATCTACATATTCACCTAAACACTTCAATTGAAACTGCTCAGTAGCCTAGCATATATATGATTAATATATTTTGATTGCAGATAGTACAGTATATAATGGCTCCTGCATTTTTGCAGGTCTAGAAACTAGCTGTATGGAATTATTTGACTTAAGGCCATTCTGCACATTACTCATTCTGCACCTCATAAATGCAATCATTTTTAAAAGTTAATATTTTTATCAGGATACTTCTTTGTTTTATCTTCCTTACATACTTATAACAAAACTAAATTGGGTTCATAATAAGCTGTTACATGTAATTATAAGTGTAAATAATTATTGTTCAATTTACAGGAGGAAAATGTACTTGCTTGCTTGCCAGTGAGCTACACAGAAGTGGAATACAGGAGGCATGATGCAGAGTAAGTACCACCCATTCATCTTGACTTAAGACAATTACAGGCAGTGGCAGTCAGATGAGATTTATTTCCTAGAGACATAAAAATTCTAAAATAAGGGTTTGAGTTGTCAAGGGATATTGAATTTTGGAACCAGGGCTTGTATGGATTCAGAACTTCCATAAAAGTACAGTACTATAGATAATTTTGGAACTGAACATTCATGAATAATTAATATGTCTATGGATTATGTAGATCTAATCTTTAAGTTAAGCTAATGTGCCTTAAGACTGAACTAAAATTACAGTACTTGGAAACAAAATTAACTGCATTATCAATTACAAAATTGACTAATTTTGCTTAACTATATAGTAATTACTTATCCAAAGAACATAAGAATTAGGAGAGCATTGCAAAAGATCTGTTGACCCATATTAATTGGGTTCCATTAAATACATGTTCTCTCATCCATATACACATCCAGTTTATTCTTGTAACCTGTTAAACTTTGTCTCATTAATACAAGCTGGCAGCCTATCCTACTCATCTCCAACCTAATTTCCAAAACAGGACTTCTCTATGCCCCTCCTAAATAAATATTTATCCAGCTTGTTCGGATGTTGTGGGTTCTGATCTGTTCTGACAGTATTAGTTGGCCGGATAGGGGTACGCTCCTCTCTTTACATTCCTCACTCGTCCTGTCTAAACTCGATTATGGTTGCCCTGCTTACTCGTCCGCTTCTTCTACTCTTCGCCGTCTTGATGCTTTGCACCATGCTGGGTTGTGCCTCAGCTCTGGTGCCTTTCGTTTGACTCCTGCCCTCAGCGTGTATGTTGACACTGGATTCCTATCTCTCCAGGATCGCTGTGATCGCTACTGTCTTTGCTATCTGGCACAGTCCTTGCAGCATCCTTCCTCTCGCTTCTGTCGTGCTTTGACTTTTACCCCTCCTGTAGTTCCTGTTCCTCTTCACCACCTCCCTCTTTCTGTCCGGCTATCTCGCTTACAGGACTCTCTTTCCATTCATCTTTCTCATATTTCTCCTTGTATTGTTCCTTCTTTGCCCCTATAGAGGGTCCCCCTTTCAAAGTTTTGTACACCCTTGACCTGCATTACTAAAGCTTTTACTCCTCCTACGGTTCTGAAACGCCCTTTTCTTGAGCACTTTCTTCACACTCTTGCTCCGTTTTCATCTTCACTGATGGGTCTAAGTCTGCGGACAGTGTGGGCTACTCTGTTGTTTTTCCTAACCGCACTTGTATGTGTCGCCTCCCTTCGGAGACTAGCATCTTCACAGCGGAACTTTATGCTATTTTTTATGCTCTCCGTCTCCTGCTTTCTCGTTGTCAATCCTCCTTTGTGATTGTAGTTGACTCTCGTAGTGCTCTCATGGCTCTCGGGTCCTTTAATCCTGTCCATCCGGTAGTCTTCAAGATTCAACATTGGCTGTTTCTTATCTCTAGTAAATTTAAATCCGTAGAGTTTTGCTGGGTTCCCAGCCATGTTGGTGTTTCTTTAAATGAGCGTGCGGATGCGGCTGCTAGTGAGGCTATCTTCTCTTGTCCCGTTTCCCATAAAGGTATTTCTTTTTCTGACTTTTATCTGGTTATTCATTCCTCCATCCTTGCCTGTTGGCAGGGTTGTTGGTCTTCTGTTGTTGGTAACAAAGTTGGTAACTTTTATCTGGCTATGCATTCCTCCATCCTTGCCTGTTGACAGGGTTGTTGGTCTTCTGTTGTTGGTAACAAACTGTGTACTCTTAAGCATTTTGTATCCCTGTGGCCTTCCTGCCACTGTAACCGGCAGTGGGAAACGGCTCTAGCGCGGTTGCGTCTTGGCCATACTCGCTTAACTCACGGTCACTTAATGGAGCACTGCCCAACTCCTTATTGTCCAAATTGCATTGTCCCTCTTACCGTCGTGCATATCCTTGTTGAATGTCCTGACTTCCAGGACGAGCGTATGTCTTGCTTTCCGACCATCCCTCGCGGTCACTTGTCCCTCGATAGAATTCTTGGTGAATCGGATACTTTTGATATCGTTCGCCTTATGCGTTTCTGTTCTCGTATTGGCATCCTTGGTGATATTTAGCGCCCTCTGATTATTCCACACATTTGATGGTGCTACATAGCCTTCCCAGTTTGGTGCCTTCTTTTGATAATTACTTCTGACAGTATTAGAACCCTGTTTATATTACTTCGTTTATTCCACTTACCAGTACTTATTTGAAAATCTTAATCGTTTATCCCCTTGTCCAGCATCTCTAGCAAGTGTGGATTGAGACACTTAAATCTGTCTTTGTAGAAAAGGTCCCTGATATCAGGTATCAATCTTGTCATTCTACTCTGTAGTTTCACTAGAGTGTATGTCCATTCTCTAGTACAGAAGTCAGAATTGCACGGTGTAGGCCTAGTGGGGCCTCACCAGTGCTAGATACAGATGGAGGAGGATATTTGCACTTTTGTTCCTGATACTTTTTATTTTAAATCCCAACACCCTGTTTGCTTTATTTTGTACATTGATGCTGTGCTGTCTGTACCTTATGTCACTATTCACCATGGGGTCCCAAATCTCTAAAGTTTAATTTAATCATGACTATGTTATTGATGTGGTATCAATACATGTAATTATTCTTAACCCACATTATACAATTTGTATTTGTCATCATTTAAATGCATTTGCCATTTTTCTGCCCAGCACTAGATTTTGTTCAGGTCTCTTTGCAGTTCATTAGTCTTCTTTTGTATTCACTAGATGCCCTATCTTTGTGTCATCTGCAGATTACTAATATTTCTGGTCACTCTAGTATCATTGTCATTGATGTAAATTATGAAAAGCAGTGGGCCCAGTACAAAGCCATGTGGCACACCACTCTGCCTGTAGTCAGTTTTGAGAAATCTTTTGTTTGTCAAGCACTGCCTAAAGTCAGGCTTCTTTGGTGATATCTTGCTCCATCAGAATTGCAACAGGCCACAAGTGCTCATGTCCATTACAACCTGATTGATCCAGCATTTGCTGCAGGAATTTTTCCATACACAGCTGCCTCTTGAAAATATCCATTACTAACATCCATCCGTTCTTGACTTCACTTCATTTATGATTGTTCTCTGTACTGAAGGTCTTACTGAGGTCCAAGTACTGTATACAACAACATAAAGTAATTTGTTATAAGACTTAATTGGAAGAATGCATTGATGCTGATAATCATGTTTTCTTGTAAATCCTTATTTTAAATACAATGCAGTCTCATGGTATATTGTTATTACTACCTTTACTATTTGTAATACTACTAAACCACCAATTAAAAAATATGTAAGGCAATGACTGCAGACACAAGTGTTAATTCAAATGTATTTATCAATTTTATCAGCATGTGGGTAAGGGGAGAGGAAATATGACTCAATATACAATTAATTGGTATGTTGCTTGGTTTGTAGTCAATGCCATGCTGTAAACAAGAAGCAGGTAATATGGTTTATAATTATGTAGCAACATGTACTGAAGGGTGTTTCTTCTCATGTTCACTTTTATAATAGCTCATCATTTGAAGAGGATGCATAATAATTTTGTATTTGTTTTAGTAAAATATATTTCTTTCAGATTTCTTGGTGGATTGATAGCAGGCCTGGCTCTGACTGCTCTTGAGTGTATTGGCTTCTTCACCGGTGTCTCCATGTTCACAGGATTAGTTTCACTTATATGTATCCTTTGTTGTAATAACAAGAGACTGCAGACTTACGGAGCAAAAACATTATAACTTGATGTTTTATCTGCTTCACCGACTTTCTTAAGAGTACATTAAAAAGAATCAATCAGCTTCTGATATATATATTGCTTATTTATTGATAGTTCAGTACTGTATATATATTGTACTTGTAAGAAACTGTATTGTATACTTACAAGAACTGTACTTATAAGAAGCATATGTTGAGCCAGTCACAATATGTATATGCTAGTATAGATGTTACCAAGTCACCCATAACCAATTGTTACTTCTCATACACTTCTGTTTCCCCAACAAAGCTAAAAAGATAAAAAACAGTATCACAGTTTTGAACAATTGTGTTCATAGAAATAAAAACAGTCCCAACATCAACACGTCATTGTGTTCTTTTCATGTGACAAAAACTAAATCAAAATTAAATGATCATAAATATGACTGGAACATGGAATACAAATAATGTTTTGGTTCATCATAAGATTAAAATTAGACAAGTCAGCAAAATGAAGGAAACTATAGTAAGTGTTTAGTGCTTGAAAATGCTCTGCATATACTGTATATAAATTTCCATGTTTATGTATGAATACTCCACTATCATGTTTGAAATGTAGTTTATATACAAAAAATATTTATATTTATTAGTAGCAGTAGTATTGCACAAAGATCACATTACCGTGACGTATCAGTGAGAAAATCAGTAGGAGTTATGAGGAGGACTCGAAACTGCACACTGTATGTGCTTAAGAGTACCCAGTGTGTAGGTTGAAATCCTCTTCATGGCTCCTACTGATTTTCTCATTACTATTGCAGTATTATAATAAGAAACAGATGTTAGACAAAGTAGGCAAGGATGGGTCTCGAGGCTTGGTGCATCTCCCCAAGATATGGCTGGAGCAGCACTCAGCTCAGGAAGGTACCAAGTTCTCACTAGAAAAGGGCATTCATATACATTCAGGTACTGCATGCCCAGGCACATTTTAATATATAATTAGTATTAACTATCAGAGTACAAATAATTTTCATGATGATAATTTTATCCTTAAATCAAAGATGATTTAAGTACACCAGCACCCTACTGTGATGCAGACATGAAAAATTTAACATTTAATCCAGTTTACCCTATGATTGATTAATCATAAAACATATGACATTTAATTTTAAGTCTTGTAGCATATAATAAATCAAGTTTCATGAAATTTTATTCATGAAATACTTATTGACAATTAACCGTATGTATTGAGTTATTATTTTTATCATTTTCCTTAATAAGATTTAGCTATTGTTTGTCACACTGGAGCCTCCATCAGCTTGGCATACATGGTGATGGACGCGTGGGACTGTCGACTTTATTGGTGGGTCTTTGGGTTATCCTCTGTTGTTCCAGCTATAATTGAGATAGGAGTTATGATTAATGTGTTGATGCTCAAGAAAAATGTGTGAAAATATGCATATACTAGATTTTGGCCTTCTAAATTAGATTCTTAATATTTTGAACTTTATATGGTCAAGCGACTCGACTGTTGGGGCAGTGATCCACACATTCGCCAACAGGTAGGAAAGAAATGCTATGTAATAAAGAACCTTAATAAAAGTTAGGCATTGAAGTCCAACTGATCTGTTCATCATTTCACAGATTTGCAGATAATTTGTAGTTTTCTTTTTAAAAGTAATAATAGTAATAGATTATTGCACTGAGACTTATAAAAGTTAACAGAAAGGAAACAGTATTCTTTAACCTTTTGTTTTTTTCTTTTCCTGCAGTGGTAGAATTTTATTTGTTGGCATTCCTTGTTATAGTTATACAGTACTTGGTAGTTCATAATGTTGTATTTTAAATTTTATTGGAATTTACTGCTTTTTGGCTTTGCAAATTTGCTGCTGCTTCGCTTTCCATTCCTTTTATCATAAGTTGGCTGAATTACAAAGAAATTCATAATATTATTACTGTATTTGATGCAGTACAAATATAAACCATCTAAAGCTAATAACTTGCCAAAAGCTCTTTAGTTTTAACAGCCATCCCTCCTTTTTATGAATGAAAAGCATTTTATACATGATTAAACTTATTAAATTCAAATGTCTCAGAAAATGCTACATTCCCATCGTATGTTCGATGTACACCTCTCTAACTACTTCACTCTAACAGTACTCTAAATGTAAATATTATTAATTTGTATTTGAGAAAATAGTGTTTTATTACACTATTCCAAAATATTATGTACAGTATAGGCTTTATGAGACAGCCACAGCATGGACTAGTGGATTAGACCATAGCAGGAGAGACTTAAACATGGTCTGTCTTAGGTATAACATATTGGCATGTGAGCCAGGTCTAGTCAAATATTATATATTACGTTCTACTTGGCATGTTATTATCAGGTAATGAAATGTTTCCCGATTCAAATTGGCATGTATATTGTAATAAAAATGGGATTGGAAAGAAGCTGTTTTTTCATTTGTCCATGTCTGGTGAGAGGTAAAGTCTTCTCACCATGGGCCTCTGTTTACCACCCCTTACCAAGGATGTAGCAACAGGTTTCTACTTCAGGAAGATTTTAGTTCACAGGAAAGGCTTTTAGAAGTACTGTATTAAAAACTATAGCTCAAGAGGAAATTTTACAGCACAGCTTACAGCAGAACTGTGCAGTCGGCTCTACCAATTGTACCCCAAGTTTAATTCCTGGGGCTGGGGTAGATATTTGAGCATATTTCCTTACATCTGATACCCCTTGTTCCCTTGTACTTCCCATCCCTTGTACTTCCCATCGCATCCTGTGGAAGGTCTGTAACTGGCTTCAGTAACCGGTAAACTTTGATAAACTAAACAGGCTTCATGTCCAACAATAGAAATTTATAAAATTGCTTCTCCTTTGCAGCTAAGTGCAGCTTTTAAATTATTCTTGCTTCAGTATATCTGAAGAAAATTAGTATTTGGCCATCTTAGGAGTCTAATCTCATGAAATTCATGCAGAAAAACATTGATAATTGAGTCAAGCATAATAAATCATTAAATTCTAGGTACACGTTGAGACAATTACAAACTGCTACACTTAGAATATACCACTACTGTATATAGACCCTTTCTATTAATCTGGAATTGACAAAAACTCAATAGCAAAGTTGTGATACAGGTACTCTGTGGTACTCATCCTTCCCTTGGTGCCCTTAGTATGTTCTTACTGCTCGTTGGTTAGTCCAGGACTGAGTTAAGACCTTGTGTTTTACACTTTAATAATACAGTACTGCATGCAGAATTATGGGAAGAAAAAAATTATATAGTACTTTATTAGAGCATTTGTAAAGTATCAATAACTTATGTCTTGTTTGTTATATTAACAGTGAACTAATGCAAGCAGAGAGTGTAAGATTGTAAGATGTAAGAGTGAATGAAATTGGTTACACAGAACGAAAGGGAAGGGAATGGGGAAGATATAAAGGAAAGGGAAAGTTAATGAACAGAATGGTTGATAAAAAAAGAGAGTATTTGATGGAATAATATGTGAAAGAGAGGGTAAGTAAAACAATAGAGCAAGTACAGCATAAGGAAGGATCGAGTAGGTGAAAGTGATGGGATCGGTGAAGAAGAGGTTAATGTACGCAGTTGAAAATGTATGGGGGTAGAGGAAATATGAATGTATGCACAAGGAAGGAAGCATGTACAGTAAGTGGCTAGAACATTTGTATGTTCTAGTTCTTTCACACTTTGTGTGAACTAGTGGGAGTGAGTTTAGGAAGTGGAACAAGTGTATGAGGAAGGGAAAGGAGTGGTGTATATGTAAGATAGTGGAAGTGGAGCTATTCAGAAGTACAGTACTATAAGTAAAGAGCATAATAAGAGATGGGTATTGGCTAGAGTCAGCATAAACTATGTTGCAGTACGGTGGGTAAATGCATATTGATACTGATCGAGCTAACAAAACTATAATTTTTTCATCACCTGTTTAGCCTGTAAGCGTCAATGTTTACCCGATGGACGAGCAATTCCACCAAGATGATACAAAACTAATATGTGAGCATAATATTGTGTATTATAGTTTGCCGTTAAACTGGAAATTAATTCTGAATACAAACAATTATTCCTAGATGGCGCCTGTGATACCCAATATGTCATGATTTTTGTATGAATAAGCTTATGTATCCAGCAGCGTTCTGCTACCCTATTATATATGAGTCTAATTCGCATTGTCCAGGACAGGAAGCCTGTATGTAGGGTATTCGAGGTCCCCCCTAAATGAACTTTACTTACTTCTCAGCATGCAAAGTACAATAGTTGCCTAACTTTCAGGTACCTATTTACTGGTAGGTGAACAGGAGCATCACGTGAAAGAAGGTGTCTAACCGCTTCTGTCCCACCCAGGGCTTGAACAACTTGTTTCTGGCAATTACGATGTCGCATTGTCAAGTGGATGTCATGAAAGGTATTTGAAGGTGACAGATGTGACCAAGCATGCAGTCTTATGATTACTGGGCTTATGATCTAATGCCACGATAAGTTAATCACGTGGTTGTGAAGATTTGCCAGAATAATATATGAACCTTTCAAATGCCCAGCCTCTCGAAAATGTGATTTGTGAATTTAGTCTGGCTGTCTCTCTCTACCGCCTTCTCCCCTCACCGCCTCTTCCCCATTCCTCCACTCTCCCACCTTTTCCCCTTTCTCCCTTTCCTTATCTCTTCCCATCCCCTTTCTCTTCTCCTTTTTTTTTTTTTTTTTTTTTTTTTTTTTTTTTTTTTTTAGATATATACAAGAGTTATTACATTCTTGTACAGCCACTAGTACGCGTAGCGTTTCGGGCAAGTCCTTAATCCTATGGTCCCTGGAATACGATCCCCTGCCGCGAAGAATCGTTTTTTCATCCAAGTACACATTTTACTGTTGCGTTAAACAGAGGCTACAGTTAAGGAATTGCGCCCAGTAAATCCTCCCCGGCCAGGATACGAACCCATGACATAGCGCTCGCGGAACGCCAGGCGAGTGTCTTACCACTACACCACGGAGACTGTAACCTTCTCTTCTGTTCTCTTCTCCCCCTTCCCACCTATTGATTCCACTCCCCCTTCTTCTTTTCTATCATCCCTCTATGTTTCTCTTTTCTCTCTATTCCTCTCTTTCCCCTCATTTCCTTCCTCCCTATTCCACCTTTTCTCTTACAATATTGTGAATCAGTAACATAAGAACAGACAGTTGTTTCAACCAGCCCGTCCTCCAAACAAAGACCCCAAAGTCCATTCCATGCACCCGCCAAACCCCATATATGTGTGTAAAAACGGGTTACACACGACTCACAACTGATACAACTCGTCCTCGAACCAAGACCATTCTATCCAACGGTCGACCACAGAGACGCATTCATCAGTTTTAACGTTCTGTTCATTCAAAACAGAACTTTTCTCAAATATAAATTAATATTATTATATATATTAGTATATTGTGCATATTTAGGCACTGGTTAGGTTCTGTTGGCGATTATTTGTATTTGTAGTACGTGGGTGAAGCGTTGTGGTTCGAACACCATCTCTGCAAAATCCGGAACCTCAGGACTACGAATCCGAAGCGCTGTCCACCCAGCTGTTAGGTGCCGAGGACGGGTTGCGAGGTGGGGGCTCCCTGTCGAACCTCATGTATCAGCCAGGTAGGAGGTTTCCCAGTATTTTACGAAATATTTCCAGAGATCCAACAGTCGTCAGCGAAGCACTTGTTTCGGGAGTGTTCGACAGAGGAGCCGAACATTAGGTTCGACAGAGGGGCTCTCTGTCGAACCTAATGTACCAGCCAGGTAGGGGCTCCCTGTCGAACGTAATGTACCAGCCAGGTGGGGGCTCTCTGTCGAACCTAATGTACCAGCCAGGTGGGGGCTCCCTGTCGAACCCAATGTACCAGCCAGGTGGGGGCTCCCTGTCGAACCTACTGTACCAACCAGGTGGAGGGTTCCCTGTCGAACCCAATGTACCAGCCAGGTAGGGGCTCCCTGTCGAACCTAATGTACCAGCCAGGTGGGGGCTCCCTGTCGAACCCAATGTACCAGCCAGGTGGGGACTCCCTGTCGAACCTAATGTACCAGCCAGGTGGGGGGTTCCCTGTCGAACCCAATGTACCAGCCAGGTGGGGGCTCCCTGTCGAACCTAATGTACCAGCCAGGTAGGGGCTTCCTGTCGAACCTAATGTACCAGCCAGGTGGGGGCTCCCTGTCGAACCTAATGTACCAGCCAGGTAGGGGCTTCCTGTCGAACCTAATGTGCCAGCCAGGTAGGGGCTCCCTGTTGAACCTAATGTACCAGCCAGGTAGGGGCTCCCTGTTGAACCTAATGTACCAGCCAGGTAGGAGGTTTCCCAGTATTTTACGAAATATTTCCAGCGATCCTCCAAACCAAAATGGCTGGGAATCACTGGCTAGGGAGACTGCTAAGCCTATGTGCAGACTTCCTGTACCCAACAAGGACTCATACATTGGTTAATTTCACGAAAAATCAGTGTTATCCTTTTATAAACTGACTCATTCAATATTGTTACTGACTCTTCTTTGAATATGAGTCAATATTAACTCTGCAATATTATAATGTGTAATATATACAGCGATAGTAATACTGTTAGTTAATAACGTTAATTCAATGAAAAATAGAGTTTTCTTTATACTGTAGTTGAACTTTCTGGTGGTTATTGTTCAAAGTTAGAAAGTATCGCCATGATTCGGGAATTTATTGCCCATTAGGTCCGCCAGGAGGAGTTACCCTCCATCTTAACGATAACACTTGGTGATAGGCTTTGTTATTTTGAAGAAATAATGTTCCTTTACATCAGGTTCTCCAGCTAATGTTTTTTTTTTTCACTTCTCTTACTATTTTTAAAACTTCAACTTTTCCTACATCTTGTTCTCCATATAATGATTTCCTGATCCTAATGCAACTTATATTTCCGTTTCTACTTTTCACGCTTGTCAAGTTTCTGCTTTTCTCGCTTCTTCCTCCTTAGTTTCTTTCACTTACACGTCGCTCACTTTTTTCGTTTCTCCTGCGTCTGACTACTTGTTTCTCTCATTTTTCCTGCTTCCGTCGCTTCTCTCCTCGACCTAAACCTAGGTTCTGAAGGTTAGTCGTCCACCACCGTAACTGACACACATGAACCAAAAATTGACACTATAGTAGGCTACTTTGGAAGTAGACAAGTATTACTCATATTTGACCATTAATCATTGAACAATACGAGTTATTAACAAATGTCGTATAAAAGTGGTCGAAATATAATGAATTAATACACTTGATTGTGTTTCTTGGTATGCAGCTCCGTGTTGAGACGGTCATAACAAGCACAACTACACCCAAAATGAACACACATTCGTACATGGTAGTGTTGTTGGAAATTTTTGTGTGTGTTTGGCTTGGTAATTACGAGGCGGGGAGGGGGAGGACGGCAGAGTCCCTCCCCCCCCCCCCCCACACACACAC